TGTGTGTGTGTGTGTGTGTGTGTGTGTGTGTGTGTGTGATGTCCAGAGCTCCTTATATGAAGACAGTCTGTGCAGTGGGTCGCGGCGAGTCATCAGCGCCAGCTCTCATGTAAGATGTTGCTGGAATTGTGGCATTATTTGGTGTGTGGTGTGTTCAGTTTGATGTGTGTTTAAATTAACTTGCATGTGCCAATATGGTCTGGATGGATGTTTCTAATGGTTACCTGAAAGGAGAGTGAATCCGGGTGAGCCAGTGGATGTAAATCATCTGCAATTGGGCAAATGATCTGCTTTTTAAAAGGATTCGTGTATATGGCATGGGTATCATCTTCTTGTTTATGGGCAGTAGTAATTAATAGGAAGTCACACACACAACATGCATTTATAGTTTTTTATAGAGCAGGGCATGCATGAATTAGCACAACTCAGATCTTAACAACAAACTGGACACAGACAAGAGTAGGAGGTACAAACAAGTGCAGTGAAGCAGCATTAACAACACATTTTTTTTTAGTTTTAGAGACTTTTGACTAAAACATCGTTTAGTTTAGTTTAGTCATCATTTAGGATGTACGTTTTTTCTGCTGCATAAGAGATGTTGAATATGGTAAAGCCTGAATCCTGAAGTAACAAAGAAGGGTAGATGCATGTTATGTACTAAAGGCACCATGTGAGTGTGTGCATGGTAGTTGGTGACAGAAACATGACGACGTTTTCTCTCTGCAGCCTGTAGAGTACACTAGTTATCGCAGCTCCGGCTCCAGAACCTCCAGCAGGGCCGGGTCAGCCCGTACCAGCCCAGTGGTGAGCCTCTCCTCTTCAGACACGCTTCTCCTCATCCTGGAGTTTGAAAGGATTTAGGCTGCATGCCATGTGGACATAACATTAAATGACAAGATGCTTTCATTGACCCATCGTGCATTTAGACTGAAACATTTAGCTCACGATTCACTGTTTGGAGGATTTGTTCACTCAAAGTGTGTTCAGACAGACATAGAAATATTCACCCCTTACAATCCTTACTCCTCCCATTTCCATCAGCTCCACTCCGTGTGCGAGGTGGTGTACTTGCAGTCAAAGTGAGCAGGGAAAGTGGAAAATGGCTCAACCATAAATAAGAGCGGTTTGCAGTAATGACTCTCACAGGGAGCTAAAATCAGATTTAAAAAAAATATTGTTTATTTAAAACATTTCATGTCATTTATCTTGGGCATGTTGATATGTTATTTTTGGCCGGTGTTTGCTGAAGTTTCTACCAGCTCTGCAGCACAGATGTGACCCACAGACCATTTTTGGGTGTCGATGGCATAAAGAAGATCCGGAGTCTGTGGCAAAATCTCATGGCACAGTGTCAGATGATTTTTCAGATATTTCTAACTCTCCTAGCACTTAAACTATGTTGAGTATTTGATCTGAATGCATCACAGTTAACACTGTCTGCAGATATCTCCAGCATGAAAACATACCAATGCTCCGTATTTAGAGTATAAACAAAAACTCACTCCTGGTGAACTTGTGGAGCGTAACTGCTAAATACATACCATCAAGTTTATCAGTAATGTGGAGATGAACTCCCTGAAGGTCACAAAGGATAATCCCTTTCATGCCTGAAGTGTGAGCTTGGTCCAGAGTGTGTGATCATCGGAGTGGTCGAGTGAGCTTTGGATCAGCTGCAGAGCAGTTCCTGACTGGGACCATCTGTCACCAGCTTGCAGCTGCACAGAGTACTTTAAGTGAAGCATTTTAGTGACAGAAACAGTCCCACAAATGTTCCTCTTTTAAATTAGTGCCATCTAACTTATCACACACATCTTTATGTAGCAATGTGCTGCAGAACGTGCAAACTTGTGTAATAACAAGTTTGGTTTTTTGCATTTTTGGACAGCACAGTGATGTCTGTGTTTTTTTGTTATCTGCCCTTTTTTCACACATCCAGGTTTTAGAAAATAGGAAATGAAAGTTAAATACACTGATGAATAACCTTTACAGCACTGATGGTGATTATTAGTGGTAATTTTAGCCCCTGCTGTACTTTTTCAATTAGTACTTTTAAAGTTTTCTGAAGTCTTAACATTCAGTGTGTTTGGCTTCTTTGTTGTTGTGTTGTGCCCCCTGGTGGCTGTCGCAGAGCAATTGCAGCTCTGTTGCCAGTTTTTTGAGAAGCAGTAGCAGTGGTCTTCCCAGGGACCTGGACGATGTCACTATTCCCGACTTTCCTGACGTGAGTAGCTTTGCACCCACAGGCTGAGGCTGTGATGTGAGCTGAGTTCCTGCCTGATTTCTTATATGCCGCCTGTTTTTTTTTGGGTTTTTTTCCTTTTCCTTTTTAAACTAACTTTGTTTATTATTACTGCAAAGACAGCGATTGCTGTTAACTGGGTTTGTGTGCGAAGTTAATCTGTGTTGAAACTGCAGTTTCTGCGTGTGCTGTTGTTTTTTTAACACAGATCTGCTGTTAGTTTGATATTTTTGAGAGAGCTTTGACATCACTCTGATTAATCATTTGCACGCTGCTACAGAGATGAATTTGTGCTTGTGAATAGATGGCAGATTCCGGTCCTTGGAGGTTTTTGTATGGTGTGTTGCTTTTTATCAGCAGATGTGAAGATAAATCAGTGCTACGGTAGCTGCAGTGACGATTGTGGGACTTCCTTCCTCCCTCAGTTCATCCTCTTGGCCCTGTGGTCTCTCATGTGCCTCTGATTCCTCTGACTGTGTTTATCTTTCTCAACAGGTGGAGGACAGAGATTATCTTGAGAAGGTGAGAAATGCACTTTTTTGACAGTTATGGAGAAGACTGAATGCTATTGTTACAATATGTTTGGATGTATTTTATGTAACAAATTTCTTTTTCGTTGTGTCAGGGATCTCGAGCAGCTTCAGCCTTAACAGCAGCCACGCTCACCTCATTAGGAGGGTCGTCCTCCCGGAGAGGAAGCGGAGAAACGGCTTTAACTGTAGACGCCGAGAGCTCCATACGAGAAATCAAGGTACAGTCCTGTAGACAGAGAGGATTGTGTTAATAGCAGGGATGCTTCAAAACAGTAGCTGGACATGTCCCAGTTGTTTTTTTTTATTGATCGCTATTGTTCAAAGATAGTTTGATTAAAAGCAGAAAGACTCATGTCAGAATGAATTGTGTTTTCCTAGCGCAAAAGGCGATGAAATTTTTAAAAACAACATAAAAAAAGCTTTTTTTACAATAAGACAAATTTTTAAGACAAAGTTTTTATTTAAACTGTTTATTTAAACAGCCTCTGAAAAACATAACTCAGTTACTCAGTCATAACAGCCGGGCTAGCTGTTTTGTCAGTTTGTGTCATGTTTTTACCGTTCTCGTTGTCTTTGCGAAGCTGTCCTCTCACGGTGTTAACTGTTCACCAAACTCTCTGCTTCACCTTCACTGCTACTGTCACGCTGTGCTTCTCTGCTCACCTCTGCTGCTGCTGCTGCTGCACTCTTTACCAGGAGATTCACGAACTGAAGGATCAGATTCAGGAAGTGGAAGCCAAGTACACTCAGAACCTAAAAGAAGTCAAGGTATAAACCTGAGAGCCTTTCATATTGTTAACTAACTGGTTTGCCTCCCCTGACTTGAACTGGTTATCGTGGTTTTCTTTTTGCTTTTATGGCACACTGGGTTGAAATCCTTTCCTCTGAGGCTTCTGCTAATACAGATTAATAACTTGTGGAGAGAGTGTTCAATTCTTCCTCAATAAGTAGGAGTGAAAGGACACTAATTAGCAGTCCTTTGATGTGGCTCAAATACGTTGCATGCTAACTGTGACATCTGCATGTGGTCTTTCTTTCTTTTGATGTGTGTGCATGCATGTGTGCTTAATTTCATTTTCACTTACAGAAAGTACATAATTCAGACTTTAATCTAAATTCATTAGTGCAGTTTTATTAACACAGTGCTGATTCATCAACCGCAATCTCATAGAGTGTTACATAGTAAAATAAAAATACTGTATATATAATGGTGCTAGCTGAACAGCACATGGCGACGGTGGTGAAGAAGAACTGGGTTCAGGGTGTGCCAGCCACCTGCTGTTACCGGTTGGAGGGTGATGAGCTAGCAACTGTGATAATCCTCTATCCTTTGTCAATGCATCAGGATGCACTAGCAGAAGTGGAGGAGAAGTATCGTAAGGCCATGGTGTCGAACGCTCAGCTGGACAATGAGAAAAACAACCTGATGTACCAGGTGGACACGCTCAAAGACTCACTCATGGAGCTGGAGGAGCTGCTAACTGAGTCCCGCCGAGAGCACGAGGAGAAAGTCAAGGTACGACAGACTGTCTTTAAAACTACCATGAATATAAAGTGAAGAAGCATAGTATGTCATTTTTTATGTTGGATCATAAAAAATTATTTATTCTGTACATTAGCGTGTCTTGGCTCATGTGACATCTCCTGTCAAAGCCAATAAATTCTGTTTAGAGTATCAGCTGGCCCCACAACCTCATAGCCATCTTTACTGAAGAGCTCTTTAGTCTGCAGAGAACTACAACATCACAAAATTAAGGATGTCATGGAACAGCTGAAAATCTAGAACCAAAGCCTGCCGCAGTTTGAATGTTTTAGTTTCCCCAAAGCAGACCTGTCTGAAAATAGACACGCAGAGAATCATTGCAAAAAAAGTAGACTGCATATCCAAAAAATATCTACATAGCTTCCACGTCTGGAAAGTGAATCAGTGCAAATCCCAAGTACAGGCACAGGGGCAATGTTCCCTCTAATTTTTCATGTGTCTGTGCGAACGCACAAACTCCCTGAGCGGTCCCTCTGAACCACTGTGAGCCAGCATCGAATCCATCCCAGTTACATGGCTTATTAAAATAATCAAATTACAGCATTTATATTTATGTTAGACTACTTTTAATTAACTGCTTTAGCCCACTTACAATGAAAATTTAAAAAAATATCTTGTTCATGACCTGTGTAGTTTGTTAACACTATTGGAAGTAAAAATAACTTGAACTCCAATTTTGAAAACTCAACTTTTTTTTTTTTTTTTTTTTTTTTAAATAAAGCTCTGACTTGTATTATGAGTGAGTCTGTGGTCTGGGAGAGAGTCCTGTAACTCTCTGTCTGCAAAATACAGTATATAATGACCAATGTTGGGCAATTAATTATTACTTCTTCAAAAAAGTAACTGAGTTTTACAAACAACAAAGTTTTTTGCAGCTGTTTACCTAAAAATGCTGCCAAGGCGTTTTTTTTAAACAAACATTTCAAAATATTTACAGAACAATCAGCTGTTCTGCATCAAATTTGATGCCACACAAATTATTTGTGCCACTCCAAAAATAATTTCTGCCCACTATGAGATAAAGGAGAACAACAGCCTGATACCTGCAGGCCTGACAACAGGAGATGTATCACTCCTGTAACACCTGTAACATTCAGCAGTCGCCCTAAACAACTAAACGCCATGTTTTGATTGGTCGACATGGTACATTTTTTGACCAATAGGAAAGGGTGGGGTTTTTTGGTTTTGTTTTTGCTCACAGGCGGAGAGTGATTTCGAGCGTTTTCCTTATAAAACGCCGTTTTTACTGTTTCTTCCCGCAGTAAATATAAACGACAATAGTATTCAGGAAGAAAACCAAACATTGCATATTTTTTATCATAACTTTGGTTTTACGTGGCCTATCAACAAAAAATAAAATTAAAAAATAAAAAATATATAAAGTCCACACTTTTTCCGTCTGTCCTCCTCACATCTCCAAAGGTTGTGCACGTTGTCATTAACGTGGCTTCACTCCTCATCAGCCGCTTTGCTAGCTAAAACACCGGTGTCGGCACATAAGGATGCTGTCATAGCCTGTCAACAACGTTGATTAACTGCGTATATACGAATGTGAATCATGTGATTGGCTAGGCTATGGGATAATGTGGCATCGTTCTAATCCCATACTGGAGCAGCCAGTCGCTTACTGACTAACACTGCCAAACAGAATTGTTAACAATTTACTTTAATTTCAATTCAGGTTAGATTATTTTTTATTTTTTTTATTTTTTTGTGCACAACGCAGATTTTTTTCTGCGCAGAGACCGTGCCAGCAGTGCGCAATTGCGCACGCGCGCAGCTTAGAGGGAACATTGCACAGGGGGACATCTTTTATCTAAAGTATCAAACAAGGCTCTGACATCCTAACTTCTAATAAGAAGCAGTACAAAGGTTTCTCCTGGACAACCCAGCATCTAACAAGCTTCATATAACCCTTATGCACCGAGTGTTTTAAAGAGGTTTGAAACAGAAGTGATGCTGTACAGTCAGACAAGGAAATCATAACTGAGCTTCATTGCTTTTTATTACACCAAAGCAGAGCTGATAAGGTTGCATTAGGACATATGAGACATGTGTATTGTCAGCTCATTAAATCAGTATTGGTATCCAATAAAGGTGTTGAAATTCCCAAAAGCAGCTGTGCTGTAATGTTTTTGTGCCCTCTGTCAGTTATTTGGCTGTTAAACTAAATCTTGCTCCCTACAGGAATACGAGCGAGAGAAGTATGCCCACAGCGTGCTCCAGTTCCAGTTCAATGAAATGAAAGAGACGCTAAAGCAAAGTGAAGAGCTCCTAAACGTGAGTACCCCCCATCACCCACTCACTATGAGTGTGAAGCGTTTTGCAGATTTCCATATTTAAAAAAAAAAAAAAAAAAAAAGTCTGTCCTGTACCTATACTCTCTGTCACACAGAGAGGCTGCATGTTGGGGTGCTTTTCACAGCTTTTCCTTCTTTTCCCGCACAGTTGATACCTACTCTGCTTTACTTTCATTCTTTTACACCTTTGCTTTCCTTTTCCTGCTGTTTAGGAGATCCGTCAGCTGCGTTTGAAACAGGAGGGTTTTGTTAGAGAAATAACTGATCTGCAGGAGACGGTGGAGTGGAAGGATAAAAAAATTGGGGTATGGCCAATGAGCCAGCAGTTTTTCATTTAATCATATTCAGCTTACTGACATGAAATCAGTATCTTCTTTGCATCACCCTGAATGCCTGTTTTTACTTGTTTTCACTTCTTGCACACTTTTAACTTTGTTTTGCACTCTGCAACACTTTTGGGTGGGTGGCTCTGCTCAGGCCTTAGAGCGACAGAAAGAATACACAGATGCAATCCGAATTGAGCGCGATGAGCTCAGAGAAGAAGCTGTGAAGCTGAAAGATATTCTGAAGGTACTCAGTGTGTGGAGAAAAAAAAAACACTGTAAGCTTTAGTTGTTTGGGAATTGCTGTTCTGGTGCTTTCCGATGCTAACAATTTATTCTACCTGTGCAGAAACATGGAATAGTGTTGGGACCTGATCTGAGCATCAATGGGGATGTTGACGTGGCAGAAGCTGATGAGTCCTCCAGTGTAGACCCTGCTTCCCAACCAGCTCAGGAGTCTCAGACGACCCCAGCAGAGGGGAACAGCATGCTCGGTAAAACCCACTGTGGAATTAAAAACTTCCTTTCTTCTTACTGCATGGCTCAGCGTACAACTGATGCAAGAGTCTCATTCCAAAACAGTAACGATGAAATAGAACATGTTTTTCTACTATTGGAGTTTCCTGTCAGATTTTGGAGTGAACTCTTCAATTCCCAGCTTCATGCGTTATATATCACTTAGACTCTGATTTGCACTGATCTGTTAAGGATAAGCTTGGTGATCCTCTGTATTTTTCTGGTAAAAAGGAAAAACTAATTCACTAATCGAGCCTTCATCAGTTACTCACTGTCCAGAAGCATTAGTCCTTAAAAAGACTAAAACCATTAACCATAAATATATATTTTTTTCTCTATAACATAAATTTCCATCGTTGTCCATGAACTATTTAAAACACGTTCATGTACCACACAGTTGTGGCAGAGTGCATGCTCCGTCTGTGGACGCTATAAAAGATGTGCACTGGTTTGACTGGAGCAAATATGAGAAATTTTATTTTAAGTTTAAGTTTGGCCTTTTTTTTAATCTTTCACTAAAAAGAGGCATACTTCTTCAGGATACTGGAGCGCTAAGTCATCAGCTAACACTAGAAACTTAGCACAAAACATCACACAGAGGCTTGCTGTTAGTGCTAAGTTGAATATTAGATGAAGTACTAGAATTTCAGTTAAAAAAACTAGAGCACGAGCTTACTTCTTAGATGGATTTTAAGACTCAGCAAGCCATATGAGTTTTATTTTTAGTGACCTGAATTAGCTGAGGTAAGCCCTAGCAGCTACAGCCGCACGTGTATGTGTCACTCTGTCGATGAGAGTGGCCACGCCCCTAATAATGCAAACTTTAAGCCTTAATCCGAGTTCACGTTAGTTAATTTAAGAAATTCAGCCTTCATTCAGTTGTTATAAAGGGATAAATTAGTACCAGTCTGTAAACACGTTTCTCTTCTTCTGCAAAGTTTTGCACATTATCGGCTAAAGCAAAGTCAGACTAGTGGGAGACAGGCTGACATATTACTGAGAAGCAACTAGAAACATAACGAGAATCACCTCTCTAAGCTTTTCCTTTAAAATATCATCCACTAACAGAGTTGCTTTTTCTATATCATCTTCCATTACTAATGCTTGGCTTTCATGTAACTCTTGCACCTCAGTCACTTTCACCAGAAACACATAAGTGTTGAATCATGACTAACTTTGTTAATGCGGCTGGTGTTGGTGTGTAAATCCTGATGCATCCTACAGTGAGAGGGTTGAATGGACTTCTTCTTAAAAGTCAACATCTGGTGTGTGTAGCGAAAATTCAGTTGGAGTATTCCCTTCTTCTTTTCTCTTACTTACTCGGGATCAGCAGCCTTATTTTGATTTTCCTCCTGCCTTTCTTCTTCTGCTTCTTTTTTTTTTTCTTGTGCTTCCTGGTCATCTTGGCGCTCTGCTTCTCTTTCTGGCCTTTGAATCAGCCAGGTGTTCTGCCTTACCTTGACTTCTGCTGATGCGCTTCCTGATGAAGTGTTGAAAGTCTTGTCTTAAGCCTACACTTTTTTGGCCTTCCATCACTGTATGCTCTTCATGATCTCCCAGGCAACACAGAGGAGACTGAGTTGAGAAGTAGCAGAGAAGAGGAAGAAGTGGGTCCAGAGCAGCAACAAGAAATGCACGAGAAAGCCAAAGAGAATCATATGAGCTCTGATCTTCTCTGTAATGCTGCTGATGTTTCCACACTGAAAACATCCAGTGAAGAACAGCCTCAAGAAGAACAAGAGACATGCTTACCTGCAGAGAAAAACAACACTGGAGAAAATGGTCTCAGTGAGGACTTAAATGCAGAAATCAGTGACTCTCCTGGTACAGAACCCAGTAGCTTTGAGCTGAAAGAGATTGTAACAAGTCCTGATGTTCCAGAAACAGAAATGTCTGAGGAGGTTAATTTAAAAGAGATGAGTAGTCTAAATGTAGTCGAGACAGATGCCAAAAGTGTTAGTGTTGACACCAGTGAGGTGCAAGACAGCAAACAGGAAGCTGTTGAGAAAAGTAGTTTGACAAGTACTGAATTATGTCCTCAACAAAAAGTTGCAGATGTTGCTCCAAAAGCAGATTTAACCGATGAATCCGTTCCAACTGCTTCCAACATTGAAGCTCAACCTGAGCCTGAAAATGCAGAAGAGGCAGAGAACGATGAGGCAGAGGAAACGCCCAGTAAATCTCAGCCTCAGGGTACTCCTGCTTCAGGGAAAAAGAAGAAAAAGAAGAAGAGAGGCAAAAAGAAAGGAGGGGCTCAAGACGACAAGACCAAACAAAAAAATGAAACGGCGAATGAAAAGAAAAAAGACAAAGAACCAGCAGGAAGTAATGATGGATCTGCTGCAGAACTTACTGTCGATGGCTCTGTCACTCAAACCTTTAAGGAATCAAAGATGGATCCAGTCAAGGAAGAGCAGGACAAGCAAGAAACTGAGGAAGTCAATGCAGTGGAGCCGATCGAATCCAGTAAATGTAAAGAACAAACTGTTTCAAATGAGTGTCATGAAGAAGAAACTTTGGAAACAAACACAGTAGAAGAAGCAGAAATGGTAGTACCTGCTCAGGCCATTTGTGAAGCCCAAAAAGAAGTAACAGTGGATCATGTTAAGGATGAACAGAACCAGGGACAAACTTTAGAAACAAAGGCCACAGATACAGTAGAGGCAGAGGAACCTACTCAAAGTTTGTCTCATGCAGAAATTCTCGTGGAAACTGAAACAGACTCCAAAATTGATGATGAAGACACCAAACAAACTTTAGAAACCAACAAGATAGAAGAAATGGAAGAAGTATCACCTTCTGAAAACCCTTGTCAAACAGAAACGCTCAGCAAAGTAATAGTGGATGATGTTACAGAGGAACAGAATGAGGAACAAACTTTGGAAATAGAGACTGACAGGGCAGTAGAGACAGAAGAACCCACTGAAAGTTCTTCTCATTTGGAAGCCATCAAGGAATCAATAGAAACAGATTCCAAAGAGGGTGATCAAGAGGAGAAACCAATTTTGGAAGTAGAGACATTAGAAGAAGTGGAATCTGTGACCTGTATTGAAGACAGTGAAACTCCCAGTGAAACAATAGCAAATCACATTACAGAAGAACAGAATGATGAAGAAACTTTGGAAACAGAGACTGTAGAATCAGTAGAGGCACTGAAAAGTGTTGAAACTCTTGAAGAATCCAGAACAGATTCTGAAAAAGATGAACAAGACCACAAGCAAACTTTTGAAACAGAGAAAGTACCAGAAATGGAAACGGCAGCAAATCCTGACACAGAGGCCAACATCTGTACAGCCGAACTCAACTCCAACAGTGCAGAAGGCACTGATGGCCTTGACAAAGAGTGTACGTCCAGTGTAGATGATCCTGAAAGGGTCGGTATCTCAACTGATGGTGATGCCATCCATACTGATCAAACAGAAGAGAAAGTAGAGGCTGCTGATGACAGGAAATCTGACAGCACGTCTAACAACACTGAAAACAGCCATGAAACGAGCAGCAACACTGAAGGAGAATCACACGTTGCAACCAATTGTGACGTTGCTGCCAATGACTCCGAGTCTGCTTCTGAGAGTAAAGACGACACATTCATCCTGCCACCGTCTGCTGATGACTCCCCTATTGGTTCATCTGACATGGAGCCATCCGAAGTTATAAACTCGGGTACAGATGACCCTCCCACTGACGTTACCAGCGAGGTTCCTGAGGAGTCCACTGATGGGGAGCCAAGAGCAGAGACTGAACAAGAATGTCCTCCTGCCATTGTCACATCTACACGTCAGGATGGTGATAATTCAGAAAACAAAAATCTGGAAGAACCCAAAGATTTAGTTAATCCAGATGAAAAAAGCAGCAGTTGTGATGGTGCATCATCAACAGAAAGCCCTGAAGCCTTAAGCACTGAGACTGCAGTGCAGGACGAAGAACTAAAGGTCAGTGCTGCTGTCGTGTTAGATACAGCAGAGGCTCCAAAAGAAGCTACTGAGACTGGTTCTTCAACTGATCTGGAATCGGCTGTCATGGAAGATCCCCAACATAAAAACGATCAACACGAGGAACCGTCATGCTTGTCAACTGAGCAACCGCATGAATCCAACAAAGACCAATCTGAAAATAATAATCAGTTGGAGAGTGAAGGGGAAGAGGATGAGGAAGATGAAGGGCAGTCTTTTGATTTTGATGACATGGATATCGAAGCAGCTGAAGAATCGACTCGTTCCCAAAATCCAGAGCAGGAAGAAGTTGATGAGGGAGTTGAATTAACAGCAGATGAAACCAACGATGGGCTGTGCCAAAGTAATGCCGAGTCAAATGAAAACAAGCCAGCTGAAGGCAATGATGGAGGCAACCAGGCAGATAAAGACCCAGATATGGTGCCTCAAGAAGACCAGAACTCTGTGGCTCATGAGGAAGCTACCTCAGAAAAGGTGGAAAATGTGTGTGAAGAAGAGAAAAACACACATAAAGAAGAAGCCAGTGAAGAAGACCAGCCAGGCAAAGCTTCAGAGGAAGTCTTGAGCGCTGGAGCGCTGGGAGCTGTTGCAGAGAACATTAACCAGACTGTGTCTTCATCAGTAGAGGCAGGGATAGATGTGGTCAAGAATGCATTGCAGGGTGAAGATGCGAATTTACCAAATAGTGCAGACCAAGTGGGCAGCAATAAAGGGGCAGCACAGTCAGGGAAGGAGTCAAAGAAGGGTGGAAAGAAAGGCAAAGGAAAGGGCAAAGAGGAATGTAAGATGTCGTAGTCTACAGATGTGCTTAAAATGCCTTTACTATTATTTTACTGATGTTTAGAAAGCGGTTTAAACCTCAAAGCACTTTGATTCTTTCCAAATAAATATTGATGTAAGTTTGTATATTTTCTTAATCTCTTTTCATTGAGCTCATTTGTGCAAACAAAACAATTTGTGGAAAGATGAAATTCTAAACTGTAAGGTAACTGTAGGTTTATACACATGGGCCATGATGCACTTGATATAACAGGTAACATTTCTTCAGATATTGATGCACATTTATTTTGCTGCTTGTACCATGTCACACATCTCTGATTATATTGCTCTCCAACGGTTCTGCTACAGCATCATTGCATCTCGGTGCAATTTCCGTCATCTACTTATGTCATGAGTCCACAACAAAAATAAATATTAATGGGTAATTGTTATTAAGACTTAAGCTAACAAGCTCGAATATGTTCTGTCCATGTCAGTGTTTAAATGAGTTTAAAGCCATTTTTGCTTTCACAAACTCTGCACAGAACATGTATGTTAGTGTCCGTTTCTTTTTCTTTTTTTTTTTTTTGCACTAAATGGAAAACAACTTTGAAATGCTAATAAACACCCTGCTGTTACCTGTTTGAAATGTTGCTCTAAATAAATGTTTTTTAATGAGATTATTTTTAATAAGATATGTTCATTCTTCACATTTACACCTAAATATCATTTTTCTAGCTCATTGTGTGTTGTCATGCAGTGTGACTATAGTCCAGGAAGCTGTGTGCTGTTGCACTGACCCCTCCTCTCCACAGTTTGTGCATGCTAACACCCCCCTCCCATCCCTCACACACCACTCCATCACGCCCTCATTGGATGCCTGCTCTGTTGCATGCATCAACCCCAGCCCCCTCCCTATCATCTCTCCGGGTCCTCCCACCCCTGGTATGTGATCTTATTTTCCTTTTTAAGATGGAACAAAGTCGTTGTAATTATTAAACATTTGCAAATATGCTGCAATTCTTTTTTTAATTTTTTATTTTTTTACCTAAAACATGTGCTTTAATTTCAGAGATTCGCCTGAGGAAACTGGTGGATGAGCGTGAGAAAATGATAGAGCAGGTGAACAGGTTTATATTTTAAGTCTGTCTGGCACATCTGTATGAATCTTACTTCTCCAGTTGCACCAGCGCCTCCGGTGTCTTGTTTTAAATTCATCGTTTGTTTTGTACAGGTAAAGAAACTAAAAGCCCAGTTGGAACAGAAAACTCAGAAGAACGGCACAGACACCAGCCCAGACGCTGAAATTATTGAAAATGGAAACGATCCAAACATAATGGAATTACAGAGTAAGTCAAATAAATCAGAAACAGCCTGCTAGTTTTTAAGTTCGTGTCTGTGATTTAAAAAAAAAAAAAAAATTAATCTCTTTTAAAATTCCTTCTAGGGGACTCCAACAGGCAGATCAGCGAGTTGAAGTTCAAACTCGTGAAGGCAGAGCAGGAAGCGACGGCATTAGAACAAAATGTAAGCAGATAAAAATTATTAAATACACTGTGTGTGTTTTATTTTGAAATTTCAGCCACTGCTAATCAGCTAGCTCATTTCTCTCTCCCTGCATGCAGGGAAGGTCTGTGTTTAAAGGCCCCCAGTGTCAGATGGCTCTTTGTGATTCTTTGGTTCTCTGGTCAAACCCCAACTCTTTATTCTGCTCTCCATCTACATGTAGCATTGGATTAACAAATTCTCCACCTGTATGTGGGGTTCCTGATGGGGAGCTGAAGCTCACCATCTGCAGTTTAAAACTCACTGGAGAGGGAGCTGAACCAGTAAAACAATGAACTAACCAGTCTGACAAACACAAGATGAAATGAGCTGGGGCTTCTGCTTAGCACTAGCTGGATCTTGAAAGTAAAAGTTGAAAACATTTCAGACTTAATCTCTCAAACATATTTTAATTGGCTTTTCAAGTACGGAGTGTCAAAGTTTTTAAATTTTCAAAGTAAAATGCTTGCTTTTAGCACCTTTAAAGACTTAAATGATGAGCTTTAAATCATGGATTTTCTTTGTTGTGCAGGTGACCAGACTCGAGGGTCAGGTGACGCGCTACAAGTCTGCTGCCGAGAACGCTGAAAAAATTGAGGACGACCTGAAGGCCGAGAAACGGAAACTCCAGAGAGAGGTAGAGTATCGTTTTCTCACCCCAGAATTACAAGCTGGATAATCTAAGAGGCTCTAATTCAAAGATAATCTGTTCTCTTTCCTCCTGTTCAATCTAACAGCTGCGATCGGCACTGGACAAGGTCGAGGAGCTCGAGTCCAACAACAGCCACCTTTCTAAAAGACTGGAGAAGATGAAGTCCAGCCGCGGCATGGCGCAGACTCCATAGCACCAACTGCAAGCAGCAGCTTCATCGTGATTTTAACCAAAAACTGGCTTAAAAAGGGAATCATCCATTTTCTGGGTTTCTCTTTCAGCTGCCTAATAGCAACTTTAATAAAACACAAAAAAATCACAGTTATCCACAGAATAGAGAACACCAACAAGCCATGTGCCATTTCTTTGTTTTCTTTCCGATGAGTGTTTTTCGTAGCATCATGCACACACCCAGAAAGTACATGAAGGAACTGAGGGGTGCGCCCATTCGTGTACTTTCATTGTGACTGTGGTTGAACCAGAACCGGGCCCACAAAATGTTGCGCTTCCTCCCCCAACTCTCTGCTGCTCTTCACCGAGACGTTTCTTCTCCTAAGTCAAACGGAGGGAAGAGACATTCAGGACGGTGCACGGCGCCGTTAGCGACGGCTCAGACTGTTACCTTCAGCTTCGTGTTGTTTTTTTTTTTTCTTTTTGCATCCAAAGCCAAACTAGTTTTAAAATTGGGTTAAAGTCTGGGTGTTTGTTAACTATGCAAGATGGTTTTTGTAGCACCTCAAACATGATCTGATCATTCAGAACATTTTTGGAGTTTTTCACGTAGCCAGCAGTTTACTGAAAGTTTTTGCCCACAGCGTGTATCCGTCTCCTTCTGGGAAACAGTCGTATCTCGGAGCTTTTTCCTGCTTCACGTAGTCGGTCACTGGTTGGCTCTTGTGCACTCACGTAAAGGCTGAGACTTACTGACGAAATGTGACGACAGGGACTCACAAAGCGGTGTTAGCAGGAGATACAGAGCACACTGGGGAGATGCTGCTTCACTGTTTACAGAGCTTTAAACTGTTTGTAAGGAAGCAAAGAACTGTAACCTTCGTGCAATAAAAAATTTAAACTGAACCATTTGCTGTTTTTCTATTTAGATGTGCTTTTAATGCACTGGTAGCATGTTTGCGATCATCGTCATGCTGAAAAATGAAGCTGTTGTCGATCACAGGCTTGCCAGATGGTACTGAACGTCGCATCAAAATCTGACTGTACTTTTCCTTGTTAAGTCCATCAGTTTTGACATCTCCAACACCACTGACTGAAATTCAGCTTCACACCATAACAGAGTGTTTTATATTCCTTCAGAATGGCTTCTTACATCGACCTGTCCACTGAGAGCATTTCTGACCAGGCTTCAGTGGAAACTCTAGACTTTCAGCTGATGCATTTCTCACGTCCTGTGTCAGGTGTTTGCTGGAATTGTTTCTGTTTCTTAAAAACATGCTTTTCAGATACTGTTCATCTGCTACATATAGGTCTTTAGGCCTGCCACTTCTTTTGTCAAGTTTCTTCAAATTTTTCTGTTAACCTGTTGTCTTTGGCATCTTTTCTGACAGGCTGCGAGTAAAAGAGTACCTAAAGATAAAATACAACTTGCCGTTGGCACATTACCAGTTAATTTCTTTAGCTAGGTGCCTAGCATTAATTGTCCTAAATAACAAATAAGTCAAAAAATACTGGCCAACACTTGTTCTACCCCTCAGCCTCATAGGAGATTAATACATCACCTTTTCCTAAAGTTATGATTTTCAGAAAAACCTTGAGGTTAAGGTCACTTAGATTCGAACTTGTCTGAGATTTTTAGTAGCTGCACCTATGGTGTCACTTTGAAGTTCGTACGTCATTTGGTTCTCACATTATCGCATTCGCAAACTTGGGTGTCTGCTCGTCTGCCCGGCAGGTTGACAACAATACCTCATCAGCCTTTTACAGCCAAAGGGTAATAATGGAAATGGTCAGGCAGTAGGACTGGACTGAAAATGAGTGAAAAAGCAGCCAAGCAAACAAAAACAAAGAGCTGGAGGACCATTGTTCACACCCACTTTAAAAATTTACAAGAAAGTCTGACTGCTTAGAAGCAAAATATAAGAGTCGGCTCAAGACTTTTGCACAGTATTTTATCTCTTCATGTATCACCACAAACATGGTCAAGCTGTCAATTGCCATTCAGAAGTGGCCACACCCCTTTCCATTCAGTCTTTAAGCTTTATTAAAGGAATAAACAGGTGAGCTGCATCCATGTTTCCTCTGTGAACTGTCTCATTTTTCAGCTCCAATTTCAATTTTTTGTACACAACACAGTCAAACTATCAACAGTCGACCTCCCCGCTGAGCAAAGCAGTGCTGCTTTACTGGATACTTCACATGTCTCAGAACTCATCCAGGTTTAGTAAATGGACTGCTGGGTAATGTAGAGTTCTGCTCCGCGTCTATTTTCCCGTCGCAGTACGTCCTCTTCTGAATGCGCTGAATCATGCGCCGCCCGTAGAAGTCCCGATACTCTGCTGGCAGTTCATCCAGAGTGTGAAGCGCCCTCTCCAGGGCCTGAAGCGCTCGCGTTGCAGCCACGGGGTCTTTGTTACCGTACGGATCCTTCTTGTCGTAGCTGTCTGCAGGTAGATGGCGCCAGAAGATATTAACGCCCACTCCAAACTGCAGAGCGAGCGTGTTGTGAAACCACAGAGCTGTGGAAAACAGGGACGCTGGGTTCAGTCGTGTTTCATGTTTGGCTGTAGGAGGAATGAAGCACTCCACCTACCGGGGATGAAAAGCAGATCTCCGGGCTCCAGCACGCACTCGTATCTCTTTGCTCTCACAAACTTAGGAAACCGCTTCAGATCGGGGGCGTCAATGTCCAAAACCTCTGACTTATCGCCTAATGGGAAACAATGAGAAACACGCTGCTAACCAAGCTCATGCCTGTTGGTGGATAACTTTAACCTGCGTCTTCAAAAACCAACATTTAGCAACCTGAATGCTAAACCAGTAGGTACTTGTTCTTCTAATGTGTTCGAAAAGATCCTGCAGATATCTCCCAAAACAGGCAATTCGTAGCAGAATCATCTGCAAAACCTCTTCATGTGATTTTGGTGCCAACTGTCCCTTTACTAAGAGTGGACACAGTACATGTGATACTTTTTCAGCATTAAACCTAACAGGAAGTCCTGTTTTTTTTTACAGCCACTAACCTGACAGGTAGAGGTGCAAAGCATCCTGGGGGCTGTAGAGGACCACTCTCTTTGTTCCGGTCACCTGAGCCAGCAGGTTGTCCATCACCTAAAGAAACCAAAGTGCAAAAAACCAAGAAGAAGGGACCGTGCATGTTTAGAAAAATACACCGACAGTCCTGCAACAGCTGCCTCTGAAACTCACATCGTAGTGCGTCCACAGCTGCAGACCACAGGAGCTGATGCGGAACACGCTGGAGAAGAACTGCTCAGGTTCAAAGAAGTCAGGTGTGTGAAAGTCCTCCGCCAAGCCCGGGAACTGTTTGCTGAGCTCAGCCGGTTCCTGCAGGAGAGAAGAGAAAGCTCCTGTAGTTACGACTTGCAATGTACACCCCAAAAAAGTCATCAGGCTCCATTCTTTGTGAGATTGAAAGTCTTCTTTGTACCTTTCGGACGTCCTCCCCAAGCGAACGAAGGTAGTAGCTCTCATCCTGAAACCAAACCCAGCAGTTTCTCATTAAAAGAATACATTTCTGTATTTTATTACGTGCTCTCTGATCCTCACCTCACACAGGAAGAAGTCAGAGTGTTTCTTCTCTGATGCTCTTCTCACAAATTCATTAAATGGCAGAGTCCTGTCAACGTGGAGCACATGACAGGTGTGGAGATATACTGCTGTCTGTGTGTTTACATCTATCACTGTGAGGACGTATTGGCTCTTTGTAGCTTTAAAGAGCTGTGTGACACTCAGAGCTGGTTTAATAAAATGCTCTATTCTTAAAAAGCAATACAAACTTGTGTGTGTGCACGTCAGCTTACTTGTAGGCAAAGTTCTTGTGAAGGAAATCCATCTGGGGCACCGTGGACACATGAATCTTCACCTCCTTGTCTCCTCCTTTTTCTCCAAGATAGTCAACTGTCCACTTCTCCAGACAGGGACCCAGAGACACGCCTCTGAGAACAGCCGGTCGACGCTGCAGGGATAACAAACCCGAAGAGACACTTCACTCCAGTCTTTATCACTGATTTCAAATTAACGTGCCTACGATCCAAAAGTTAAGCAATTTACTTGACCCCCACTGGACAATTGAAGATAACACAGTCCAATAGCAATAAAAACTTTTTCTCTGTACCAACATGATGATCCTTTAAAGAGCTAATTGATAAAAACCGGCATATGTCAGCATGGTGTGCAGTGTGTCCTTAAAAAAATGAAAAAAAAAATGGACAAGTGGAGGACAAAAGAAGAAGCAGTTTCAGCGGCAGTTGCAGTATACAGTGTGTTAGGTGGATGAGTTGTACAGGGAGATGGTCACAGGCAGGAATGATTTCCTGTGTCGTTCAGTGGTGCTTTTGGACTAGACTGAAACTTCATCCAAAGAAGAGCTTTGGATGTCCTTCAAGAAACCTGGAGAACTATTTCTGAAGACTACTTAAAGAAAGCTGCCAAAGAGAGTTCAGGCTGTATTTCAGAATAAAGGTGGTCAGAAAAATGTTGAATTTAAAGTTTGTTAGAATTATACAAACTCCGTTTTTGCCTTATAAAATGTGTTCTATACACATTTGAATACACATACACATGTGTGTATTTGAATAAATTGCTGCCCCTATTTGCCATGTTCTGGGCAAAATACAAAGAAATCAGGGATGGCTGAGACACTGCACAACACTGCGTGCATAAAAACTTCCCTGATAGCAGTGAAGTATTAGTAACAAAGTCCAAATTGATTGTTTTTACTGTGAAAGTTTTTCAGTTGTCTTGCATTGTGTCTGGAAAAGCTTCACACTTTTTCACAACCAAATCAAACCTCAGCCTAAACAATTTGTTAGCTTGAATGCTGAAGATCAGCTCTTTGATTTTAGGGGGGAGAGGAAGTGAAATATACTTTCTCAGCCCTCACATCCCTTCAGAATAAACGTCCTTTTACCTAGATTAGGATATAAATCATTCAAATTATCTCTAGCTGCGGCATTAAAACAAACTACACGTAAGTGAATCGATAATAATGATCCAATACATAATTCATGTGATTCTCCATAAGGAGCACTTTCAGTATTTAAGAAAATTTTGATGTTAAAACTTGGGTATTTTTACTTTTATAATGTTTTTTTCTGTGGCAATAAGAAGTGGCTGGATTCTTTTTATAGAGCAAGCTGTAGTGGGGAATTAAATATGTACGAGCGAGTGTGATGGTGCTCATGTGAACTGCTGCTGTCTCTTTTTCCTGCGGCCCTGCCCTCGTGCAGTGAAGCACATCCGTCTCACCTGTGGATAAATGTTCCTCAGAAACACCTCCCTGTCTACTGCTGCGAAGACCGGCACAGGTATTTTCTCCTGGAGCTCCATTTAACATAATTTGACGTAGAAAGTCTTCAGTCAGTGATTGTAAACACTCACACTGGGTGTTACGTTATCAAAGTTCCCCATAGAAACGAGAAATAACTGTAAAAGTTGGCTTTAAAAGAAAAGCGGGATGAACTTTAAATTCTTCGTAACTGCTAGGCTTATTTTAATGATATTAAAAAACTGCGTCACTGTGTGTTTTATGAATATCTGTTTGCAGGTTTTTAATGCGTGACGTGTTTCTAACCGGAAGATACAAGAGGATGGACAAGAAAGCTTCGCCCAGAGCAGATATGGGGAAAGACCGTCCACGTCCTGTTAATTCCATTGTACATAAATTAGCTGCGGGTCAGCAGGAGGAGCAGCAGAGGACGCACTCAGGCTGGTCCTTAATATAAATGATCATAAAACAAAAAAAGCCCATGTTTGTTTGTTTATTTTCACAAATAGAGCATCAATAGT